TTATTAAACGTTATATTGTATTAAGATATCAAAACTAAAAGAAGTATTAAAGGTGACTAAAAAATATCCAAAAAAGTCATTCTTTAGTTATCATAAGATAAGGGAGGATAAGACTATAAAATGGCTAGCAGTGCGACATCTGTCGTCTTTTAATCATCTTTTCGTTGACTATATTCTTTCACTAAAAGATATCTTTGTAATAATTTAGTCGTCTTTTAGTCATCTTTCAGACGACTTTGTGCTCTCTGAGAAACATCTTAGCTGTAATTTTTCATGAGTAATAAGCGCGTTAACAAACTGCTATCACGTATTTCTCGCGTGCGTCTCGCTTATATCTTGATATCGATTTAAGATACGATTAACGTGATAACTTTTAGAAATAGTTCATGATACGATTATCGGGTTAGCTCCAATTAGTTCTTCGAATCTCAACGCAGATTATAAAAAGATTTAATGTGCAAATAATGACATCTAGCGGTGCTGCTAAGAATTACGTTTCATTATTTGAACTTGCCTTCCGCAATTAAATTCATTATTTTATTATTATATTATTGTAACTAATTCGCCATTTCAATCATATAAAGCATCTACTACATTTCGGAACTAATTTCTATGTAATTTCGACCGACGTGGAGTATTACCACCGACGAGATATTATTAAAAATCATCAATTCTGGGTAAATTTCCGGCGATATAAAAAGGGTTCCAAGGGCCCGGAGGTAATTAAAGAACGTTAACATTATCAACAATTAATATAAATTTGCTATTATCATAATAAAATATTATTTGGCTAATACATTTTTAAATTCATGATTTTTTATTACATAAATGCGTATACATACCATAAATAAATATGCATACTTGTAAAATTATAACGTCCTATATATTAATTGTCGAAAAATTGCAAATTTTTCTCTGCAGTTATCATCTCTATTGATAATCAAACTTTGATGATAACACTGAAATCATAACTTTAAAGAAAAATCGAGTATTATTGAGTTTAAAATGCATATACACACCGATAAACACAACTACTAAACTAATAAATTATAAAATTAGTACAAAATTATCAGTTTTTTACTCTCAATCGCTTCAGTATTTATGCTGCCGCGCACTACTGTCCCCTGACAAAATGAATGTAAACTACATAGCAAGATCCACTTTTCTGAGGATACGTCCACTTTTCAAGGCTGCAGATGATAAATCGATATTTGGTTCATATAATCGTGCTTCACCTTTAGAAACTTATTGATCTTCTTCCGCGATTGTTTGTGCTTATGGTGACTCATGATTTATTTATGACTAGATAATCTGTGTACTATACAATATACTATAACAGTGGATTATATACAAGATCGTATCGCAATGAATCAAATTCAGAAAAATGACATTCCTAGTATTTCGATGAAGAAATATTACAATAATCATATATGGGTGATCGTTATCAGCATTTGGCTGATAACGAAATTGCTGCTAGCAAATCTAATATATGTCGTAAGTTTCTTAGAATTTGTTTAAAATGGATACCCAGCAAACGAGAATGGATTAAAATGGATTGAAATTTTTTTTCTATCCGAATGCGTATTTTAAATAGTGAATACTTTTTTATTTGGATTTAATTGGATTCAATTGAATTCAATTAAATTCAGTTGGATGCAATTGGATTGAAAAATTGCATTTTCTATTCAAAATTTTGAATTGAACAGTACAATGCACAGAAAAAAAACAATATTATTTTCAGATTGAAAGATATAGAGATATGCTCCATGCAATTCCTATAAATGAATAAAAATGCATT